ACTTTGAATTATTGTTTATTACAAGTCTGTATTGAAGTGTGGCATTTGAACTGGAAAGTTAAATCAATCTTTGGTCAATGAGGTAATCCCTAAACATGTATCAATATTAAATAAAAATTATACGTGGCCTCCAATTTTGTGTATGATATATAATTGATATTAAATTATGGTGGGTGGTGGAGGTTATCAAGACAACATTTGTTCCCACCATTAGGTCTATATTGTAGTTTATATTAGATTTTGAATATTGGCCTTGTGTATGAATTAAAAGAAAATGCACACAAATAAATTTTTATATAACACAATATATATGTATACAAAAGGATAAAGTGAAAATTGGAGGTTCAAGAGTTCAAATGTAAATGTCCTGGTGAGAAAGAGACCGAGAGAATGTATATATATATATATATATATATATATATGTATGTATGTTTTCAAATGTAGCAACTGCCTGCTTAAAAATGTGGTGAAAGAAAGGATGTAGGTTTTAATATCAATACAGGACTGTGTGGATGTCTAAAGTTGTCAGTGGTTCATGCATGTGACCTATTTTGTCTCTTGGTATGTTACAATGACCGCAGCATATGTGAATGGATATAATTAATTCATTGATTCTGATTTAGGTTGATTTTCCATCTCTATATACCTATCTAGAAATCTGTTTTGAAAGTGCCAGTTCATTTCTCATTGAATCTCGATTAGTGACCTTATATCTTGGTTGAGAGCAGCTCTCAATTCTAATTTGCTCACTCAATTAGGATGTTTGTATGCTGGTCACGACAGCTTCTGATTAGTTGCTCAAAATTTGACTTTATGGTTTGGTGATTCTGAATATACATCTATTTTTAGAGATGCTAAAATTTTTGTCTCCTTATTATTTACTTGTGTTTCTATCACTACAATATTTTTCCCAAAATGTGTAAAGCACACTTTGGAAAAAAAAAAAAAAAAAAAAAAAAAAAGAACCAGGGCAGCAATAAAATCTAATTAAAAGGTAAAAAATAAAAATTCATTACTCTCTTACCTGAAGAGTCTATTGGACAAAACTTGAATGGTAGTGAATGAGTGAATACTGTTTTTTTTAAATTTTTTGCAATTACATAAATTTCAAGTTTAAATTTAAAAGTTTAAAATTTCATTATTCAAACATTTTTAGTGTTTCCTGTCTGTCCATAAGTATAACCAATGTTTATATTTTTATATTCCTCTTCATTTTCCTATATATATATAATTCCATTAACAAAAACATTACTTTAGTCCAATAAAGTAATAAAGGATGAAACATGTCACAAAAGTTTTTTCACTGTCATTAATGTGTCTGTGTGTGCATGTGTATATATCTCTCTGTGTGCATGAGTGTGTGTGTATATATATATTTGAATAAAAAACAGACCACGTTACTTCCAAAAGCTGAAATGAAAAATCTTTCATTTCAGCTTTTGGGAGTAAAGTCTGATGATCCAGAACCCTGTTAAAGGGGTTATGATGAAATAGCTTATCACATGGAATCTTAACGTGGTCTGTTTTTTATTCAAATATATCTGCTTTGAATTTTACATTGAGCTCTCTGGATATCATCCTCCTCGGGTCTACCCATACGGATTACCTAAGTTTGCATAAACTATATATATATATATATATATATATATATATGTGTGTGTGTGTATATTTGGGCAGTAATCCCTCTTTTATGCATGTTTCATTAAAAACAACTGACAAGGTATATATATTTTAATCATTTCACCCCAAACAAGGTGATGATGCTACTAAGATGTAAGGGGTTACAGAGAGTGAAAGTGAATGAGAATACTTTAGTGAGGAGAAAGGACAATGAAAGAACAAAATTCAGGAAGACAGTAGGTGGCAACTGACATTGCATTTAAATTTTTCAAGATTGTAGGTAGCAGGGAAGTAAGATATCAAAAGGAAGTTCCACAGGTGAGAAGTGCAAGAAAAGAAATTATTAGAATTTATGGTTACATCAAACTAATTCAACAGTAAAATGATAAGACCTGGTAGTCAATCTAGTAGTGTGCTTAAATTAATGTAGTTGAGTCAACAAGGAGGAAGCTCATCAGAACAATTGCCATGAAAATATTTATAGAAATGACAGAAAGGAAGTCACATCATTGCATTGGGAAAGTCACTGAATTTGAGATGTCAGGTCAGAACCAATAATATTACAGACCGTTCTTTGGATTTTGTTGAGACTCTTGAGATATATAGCAGGAGCACCAGACCAAATGTGATAGCAATATTCAATGCACAGACAAATGGTAGATTTATAAATGTTGAAAATAGATTCTGACAATAAAAATTACCTGGCATGAAAACAATGAACCAACTTTCCTAGCTGCAGACCTAGCAATTGATTCAATATAATCTTTCCACTTCATGTCAGTGGAAAATGTGAAACCAAGAAGATACAATGTGTTGCTGAGGTTAGAATCAGCCATGTTGATAGAAGGCAAAAAAGGTTCTCAAAAAAGGTTTCTATTTGGAGGCATTAAAATTAACAAGCCCATTCCAAGGATATAGCACTGAGGGACCCATGCATTAATATGAGAAATGACTTGGATTAAGTCAAATATTCATGGTTCTCAAATGGTGTACCTGGGTGCACTGATGCACCCTGGAAGATGTCTAGGTGCACCCTGGCATTCCAGGGAAATATGTGTTCATATATAAGAAATAAATATATTTACTTTATTATATTGTGATACCCTTCTCATTCATATTTATATATTTTTTTTACTTTTCTGCTCTCACCAAAATTAAGTACAAAAAGAGAGGAACTTTTCATTGTATTGATGAGGAAATGAGAGTTTGCCTATCAAATATACGCACAAACATTGAAGAAATTGCTAAGACTCATCAGGCTCATGTTTCTCATAAACACAAGAATGAATAAACTTAATGTATGTTTCAATCTTTTTCATTGCATTATTTTTTTTCTGCAATATTTGACTTCATTATAACATATTTTTCCGAAATTTGTATATAGTGTGCCTACAATTATTAGTAGGATTTCAAGTGCATCGCAACTTCAAAAAGCCTGAGAACCACTGGGCTAGAGACACTGAGAAGGCCAGCATGCAAAACCCTGTCAAACACTTTTGAGATTATATATATATTTTAAATAGAAAACGGACAACTTTAAAAGGTCCATTGGTCATAATAAAAGTCGGGGTACACTTGAAATCCTACCAATAATTGTAAAAACAAGATATAGCTTATTGTTTATTTATATAATATAAATAAACAATAAGCTATATCTTGTGCCCACTGAGTTGGGTAACCAACAAAACTTAAGTTGCATACCAAACGTAGGTATATATATATATATATATATATATATATATCTTAGCTCTGTCTAACCACATCCAGCACTATTATGTCTATACCTCTTGGGAAAATTTGGTAATTATTTATTTGCTTACCAGTGTATGCATGCCAGCATGTACATATGCAGTTAATATCTAGTTATTTCATATTGATATCACAATGTGGGATACTTAATTTAGTGGCATCTGTCAGTCTCAAGAGACCATGGATTTGTACCGAAAGGCCTGAGCAGGTTTTTCTTTTTTTTTTTTTTTTTTTGTGTGTGTGTGTGTGTGTGTGTGTGTGTGTGTGTGTGAGTGAGTGAGAGAGGGACAGGGATCAGCAGTTGCCCATGCAGCTCATCTATCCTCTCCACACCACTAATGTTGTTCAAGGGAATGGCAGAGGCACTAGCATTGCTACAGGAGTTGCCAGAATGGACACTGGACAGTCTTAGGGAACTCTGGATTTGAATTTGGAATTCTTCTTCTTCTTGTCTGGTTGCCAACCATGGCTACAGAGCCCTGACTGCCCTACTATTTACCCATAGTTGGAGGTTTTTGAATTCAGAGGTTTTCATAGTCCTAGACTGGTTGTCCCCCAAGACTATATAATCCAGGTTGTAATGCTATTTACCCATAGGTGGGAGAGGAGAGATGGATTCAGACCTTTCCCAAGGTATTAGCACATAAGTGAATGTAATGAACTTGACTGGATTTCAAACTCAGCTCTTTGACTTCTCAATCCCAGCTGCAATCTATTATTCCACAGTTCCCCCAGAATACTTTATAATAAAAACAATAAAAAAATAAAATTTGAAGTGAAATTGATTAGACTATATACCCAAACAGATAAAAAAAAAAAAAAAAAAAAAAATTAAATTTAAAAGTTTAAAATTCCAGCATTCCCCTTTCCTTCATGCATGTGTGTAGTCATATCAATTTAAATATCACTTTAGTCTGATGAAGTCCTGAAGGATATGTGTCAATGTTAAATTTTTTTCTACTTTGTCATTAATTTTAATATATATATATATATATATATATATATATATATATATATATATGAAAAATATGCTCTTAAGGTGTGCTATATTTATGGGATAAAGTGCTCCATATCAGAGATAGAACATGTGTAAATATAAAAGTGAACATTGAAGTCAACAGGCTGTTTCATGCTATATGCAATTGTCAGACCACCCTGATTATCTTATGTATATATATATATATATATATATATATATATATATATATATATATATATATATATATATATATTTATATATATATATATATATATATATATATATATATATATATATTTATATATATATATATGTATGTATTAATATATATATATATATGTATGTATATGTATTAATTATAAATATATATGTATGTATATGTATTAATTATAAATATATGTATGTATATGTATTAATTATAAATATATATGTATGTATATGTATTAATTATATATATATATATATATATATATATATATATAGAGAGAGAGAGAGAGAGTATTCTGCCTCTAATAGTGAGGATTCTTTCCCCACAAATAGAGCAAAGTTAAACATAATAATCACTGAAAATAGTCATACGAAGATAATTCAATGCTAAGCACTAAGTCTGATATTAAAGTATTATATTTTACAAATAATTTTTTTTACTTACCGTGTCCACTTGTCTGAGTATGGAACCATCTTTGAAAAATATTGGTTTCATGGCATCTACAACAACATAGTCAAAGTAGCTTACCCAATCATCCTAGAACAAAACAGTGTTTTATGAATTTTTAATGAATAAGAAAAATATCTTATTAGCTTTCATAATAAACATTGCTACTTCTGTTTTTTTTAATACTTTTCACACTAAATATAACAAATTGGATGAAACAGAGATAGTATTATTTATATTCTGTGAATATACAGACCAGAGATAGATGATTATATTTGCCAACTTATGACACATTAAAAAAGCCTTCAAGTATTATACATTATCTACTTTATCAAATGAAAACAAAATAAGACATTTTGAAGTACAAATTTTAAAACATCATAACTTGGCTCAAGCTCAACATTATGAGCCAAAGTAAGCATCATTAGAATTGGCACAATGATGCTAAATGTTCTGGCAGTGAATTTATTCCATCATAATAAAAGTTCAAAGTACATAACCTACATAAGAAAAATATATTTACCTACAAAATTTACTCATTCACTAAACTAAACCATAATCAAGTATCTTATATAATAAATAATATTTTATGAATTATTTTAAGTAGTATTTAAATAAAAGAAGAAATCAGAAAAGTGTTTATTTTTTAAATCTATGCATTTAAAATTGACTTCCTTCATGTTAGAAAACTAGAAATGGCAAATGATAATAGAATACCATCGTTTATATATATATATATATATATATATATATATATATAAACAATATATATAATTATATATATTAGTCATCCACAGACAAACTGTTTCGCTATATCACAGCTCTTCAGTGTGGCTAGATGTCTGATTGCTTCAAGCCAGGATTGAAACCCAACCAATTTGGTATCAGTCAGAGATTCTACCCATAGGCTATCATCGTACAGCACAGAGGAAGGGAAATTTTAACATTTTCTATGCAAAGTATGTCAGTGGTCCTCGAAGAGCTCAATCCAATTCGGTTGAAGAGCAATGCATTAATAGTGGTATGAACCACTGTTTTTAAAATTACCCAAGAGAGCTCAACTGGATTTTCCAGGAACATTATATATATATATATATATATATATATATATATATAAAGGATGGTTCTAGTTTCATGCCCGCACAATCTTCAGACAACTGAAGGTCACATGAAACTCTAGTTACGACTAGAGTTAGGCTTTCATAGGATTTAACGTTGGTAACGATTTTTGGGCTCAGTCTTGGCAATCTGGGCTCAGTATTAAGTTTGCTTTCAGGCCTTTTTTCTCTCTTTCTGTTCTCAGTATTGTCAGTTTTATTCAAAACTGTATCTGGATAAAAGTCATAGTTATTAGTAAGTTGGTGGTTGGTTTAACCAATGGTTTTTCTTTAATATATATTTTTACAGTAAGGTTCACCCTGTACAAGGCCTGAGAGCCATTTATGGTAGAAGGTTACATCAAGAAGAAGTTTATACGGATTGGAGGAGGGAGATAATGGTTAACCCTAGACTTGAACAAGATCAGGGAAACATCCCCTTAAAAGTCAGTTCCACAGATAAGTGGTTCAAAGGAAGAAGCTGTTTGAGTGGAACTTATTTCTCACCAATGGAATACAGAGGGAATGTGGGTGGTTTGCTACAATATAAGTGGCATGGTGGGTCCTAGCCATGAAGATTAAACCTGATGGAACCAAGGAATGCAGTTTGTTTGAGCACTTTCTGTGGTGGTAGTAATGATTTCTTCCCCAAAAGGACTCAGAGATGCTTTTGAACTCTACTGAGACTGGAAAGTGAGGATATATATATATAAGTTGGAAATTTTGCTCGTACCGAGCTCAATCACATTTCACTTAGCCAATGACAGTATTTTTCTAAAAGCAATTAACATATGATATAGTCAGGTGAAAAATAATATTTCAAACTTTTAATTATTTATTTATAAACTTTTACACTTACCTCAGGATTTCTTTCAAGCAAATATTTCATTATTTTCTGGAACAGACAAAATGTATTCAAATCAATGCAAAGTTTAAAAAGATGGAAAAGGCTTAAAAAGACAAAAGAAGTTTAAAAACGATGAAAAAAGAAGTTTAAAAACGATGAAAAAAGAAGTTTAAAAACGATGAAAAAAGAAGTTTAAAAACGATGAAAAAAGAAGTTTAAAAACGATGAAAAAAGAAATTTAAAAACGATGAAAAAAGAAGTTTAAAAACGATGAAAAAAGAAGTTTAAAAACGATGAAAAAAGAAGTTTTGAGTTCTGGAAAAGTGCTATCATGAAGGATTAACAAATATGTCAATTTTGGTATCTCTCCATCCATGGGAAATAGATTAGAACAAATCTTTAATTAACATTCCTTGTATTTGTTATGTTCTTGATTTCAACTTCCCACTTAGAGTTTAATGAAGTGATTCACAAAACTTATCTGTATAATATTGCTTAATGTTATGTTGGGTCAGTACTGTAAAGGCTGAATATTTAAAAAGATCTAGTAAAATAAACAAAGAACCATTATCACTCTTTTAATGTGATCTGTCTCAAGACCTATTTTGGTATCATTATTCTTCTTTTGTAGCTGTTGGGTTGGTGAAAAAGGTTGTATCACCCTACATAGAAGTAGAAATCTACGTGACAGTTATCATTGTTCAGAGACACAGGAACCAAAATAAAAGTGAGACACATACAAGGACCTGGGACCTACTCCTAGGCCAAAGGACCAGCTCCAGACAAAGGGAACCTTGAACATGTTCTGATAAAGTGGACAACTATTAACTGCGTCAACAATGGACTCCTCTGGTAAGTCACAATACACATTCTGCGTAAGGGAGGACAATGTATTAGCTTTTCTAATAATAATAAATATTGTTTTCCTTGTAACTTGCATCTAAGCATTTTCGTTCCAACATAGCTAAGTGAAGAATGGATGGGAAGACTGCACAATATATCAGTTCACAAGAGTGGGCTGAAAAGTTCATGGGCTGGCTATGAAGGATGGATGTTAGATCTGTGAAATCTTCCATACATTAATTTCAACTCTTCTTATTAATAGCTGTATTGTTTCTTTCCAGATAAAGTGACATCTGACTGTTCAATGAAAACACATGAGGAAGGGAGGCTTAAAAAAACTTAACACTCACAGGGTATATTGAGGGTAAGAGAGATAAGAGAAGACAACGTACCACTTACCTGACAAGATTGTGTAAATGAATAGCAGAACTGAGGACAGGGGAATTAGCAAAGGGAGAAAAACTGTTAAGGTCCACAATGGATAGAAAGTTGTGGATAACCAGGATTGTCTGTGTCCTGAAGGGACATGGCACATAGAAGAAGAATATAAACAAAGCTCCATTATCTCTTTTAATGTGATTTGTCTCAAGACCTACTTTGGTATCACCAATCTTTCTTTGTAGCTATGAGAAGTATAGATAGAAACATTGTACAACATATCAATTTATTGTAGAAATTTTTCTTATAAAAGGAATTTATATTATAAACCATCGTTAATTATAAATAATTATAGCTATTTCATAATTAATTTATTCCAAAATATTTATATAATTATATTTATTTACCCTTTCTTTATGTCATGTTTATGACAGTAGATGACAAAATAAATATAACGCTAAACTAAATTTATATTTTAATATAGACTAAGCTAAATAGGAATTAAATCTTTTTCAAAAATGAAAACTTTTTACAAAAAATCAATGTCTGCGAAAAGCAAATCAAACTATATCAGAAAAATATATTTTGCTACAGATATGTTAAGTTAAATAAAAAAAAAAGAATAACTGCAAATTGATAAGAATAATTGTTTACATTAAATATTCATTAAAAATTTACTTAGAATAGTGATTGGCTGAATGAATTATTTCTTTTCTTTAAAACATTTCACCCCATGCAAGGCAGTAAAGCCACTGTTTTATTGAGTGTGAAATAAGAAAAAAAGAGATACATTATTAAGAAGTGAGAATAATAGAAGCATAATAATAGAAGACAATAGATAATGACTGACACTGCATTTACATTTTTGAAGATCAAAGTTGGCTGGAAAGCATGGTGCCAGTAAAATGTTCCACAAGTGAGAAGTGCAAGAAAAGAAACTGTTAGCATAGAACTTACGGTTACATCTAGCTAATTCACCAGTAAATTGATGAGCCCTTGTTGCTAATCTAGTACTGCACTTAAATTCATGAAGTCTAGGTACCATAGTGAAGAGCTTATCTGAACAATTACCATGAAAATATTTACAGAAAAGACACAGAGGAGCAACTTTACAGAAATGGAAAAGTGACTGAAGCTGAGATGCCAGGTCAAGATCAATGATATTGCTGCTGCTTCTTTGGATTTTATCAAGAATCTCTAAATACATAGCACTGGACCATATGTGGCAGCAATATTTAAAGCATGGATTTATCTGAACTAAATCTTATAAATATGTAAGGTAGATACAGAAGAGAAAAATTGTCTAGCATGACACAATGAATCAACTTTCTTAGCAGCAGACCTAGCAATGGATTCAATATAGTCTTTCCACTTCATGTCAACCAAAAATGTTAACACAAGTCACTCTCCTGATGGGTGGCAGAAATGTGTTGCTCAGATGATTAACAAAGTGCAGTTTTATTGTGGAGTCATTAAAATTAACAAGCCATTCTCTGCCTCTGTTAAAGGGGAAAGCAGCACATGACATATGTGCTGGGCTTGGGCAGGTGGATGACGGAGTGTGGTCTGGGGGTGTTGGCAGAAACACAAAACCTGTTGAGAGCCACAAGGGATAGAGGGAAGTGGAGGGCCATGATCACCTACATCCTGAAAGGACATGGCACATAAAAAGAAAGTCATTTTTCAGATCAGCAGCCAATTTGAATTCATCAAATCATAATTTATTAGCTTTCTTTACCAATTAGTTATTTTTGATAGGTCTAAATAGTGGAGCACTAGTTATTTTATTTTTTTATGCAAGCTTCTCAGTAAACTATTTTCACGTGTGTGTGTGTGTGTGTGTGTGAGCACATTGTACTAAGTGAATGCAAGCAGGAAATGTTATTTTCTTACATTGGTGTAATGATAGCCACTGTTGGTGATGAGAATTGTTTGAGCTCCATGTTGCTTAATTCTGTAAGAAACAAAAAACACTTAGTAAAATAAAAATGCAGAGTCATGCAATAAAAACAAAGAATTAAATAAAAATATGATCCTTTAAACATTACTACACAAGAATATTCCACAATTACAATAAAATATAATAAAATTATGTATCTGTCTATATTTCTGAGATGAGGTATTATGTACATTATTCAGACTATTGTCCTCATTTTTGTTGCCATATTTATTACGTTTTGGCCGCTGTGCACTCCGGCCTTCTTCAGGTGTTGGAATGTCAATGTCGCTCACTGGGGTAGACTGCTTTAGTTCCACGTGCCATGTTTAATGGATGTCAATAAAATTAATTCTAGTGGTTTTACTTTTAAGACAAAGAAAAAATAAAACAAAGATATTACTAAGAAAAACAGGACAGAAATCTGGGTTTATATAAACATGAATGATAATCAATTTATGCAAATTTACAGGAAACAATTTTTGTAAAATCCATGGTTCTTCTCCTGATTATAATTGTGTGCATTCAAACTTAGCTGACAGCATATTCTTTATTCTGTTTTTACAATTGTTTATCTGCTCTTTCTGAGCAGTGAATGGTTCTAAAAACATCCAGAATAAAAAGGTTTCTTTTATTTCATTTAATACATTACTAGTCAGAGCTGGTGGATACTACACCTGAAACCCATGATTAGTAGGGAGGGCATTTTTTTGTCTAAATGCATAAATTTGTTTTTCTCATGCTGAGTCTCAAAAAAAAAATAAAATAAAATAAATAAATAAATAAAAAACAAAGAAAAATACTATATTCACTATATTTTATCCATGTTGAACTTTTTAAAATTATTCAACTTTTTAACAAGAAAAATCTCAAGTTGATGTTAAAAATTGCTGCAAAACATTGTTGATTTATTTAAGATGGAATGATTTATGATGATACGTCTCCAATTTGTATTTATTTTCAATTTTTCTAGTTGATTTGCTCACCTATATTGCATATGATTCATTATTGTACATAATTATGTTACAATAAAATTTCTATTTTATATGAATACTATCTTATGAAAATTGAAATGTAGTAGAGTGAGTGGCCTCTGTATCATGGATTGGGTGGGGGAAGCATGACACTTACACTGGCCTTGATAGTAGTAGTATTAGCAGTATGAACTGAATGTTGAAGGGAGTGATGTAAAACAATGGCCTGAATTTCACCAGCATAAATTGTAATGGTAATGTTAACCGTTTCCTTATGTGGAAACATTTGGCATTTATTGGTCAAACAACCCTTGCTACTTTTGATTGAAATTTATAAAATCTTTCTATTAAAACAATTTTTCAGGAAAATAGGTTTCTCAAGTTCACTGTTATTGCTCTTTCCAGCATTGAGGGTGGGGAGGGGCTTCCTTTGTGATATGTCCCGGAAAGGGATATATTTGATCAAAGTAGCTAAGTGGTTTTTGGCTACTATAACCAAGTAGAATACGGTAGCAGTAATCGACTGGTAATAGGTGTAGACCAATAGGATAGCCAATGGCGTAGTCATAGACTTAAACTGTCGTACTTACACATCCGTCTGTATTTATGACTGACACCAGCCAATCATATTCCAATGAAGGGGAACTCAGGTGTATGCATATTCCATTATATCACTTTATTACCTTTTGTTTTAAGTTGTGTGAAATATCAACGTCTTGATCATGCCACTTTTTTTTCGAGTTACAAGTGCTATTCATTTTAGTTGTTGCTGAGAGTACTCAAGTGACATGGTTTCTGCTATTTTGTACAGTTCTTTCTTTGTGATTCTATACCACCAATAAGTGAGGCTCATTCACTGGAAGATATTTTTAACCATTGATCTTAGAAAGCAGGTGTATACAGCTTAGATATTTCTGAACAGGTTGGATAGCATGCAGGGCATTTATATGAAAGTCACAATCTAATGAAACTATTTAAGAACATGACTAGTTCTTAGGTTAATGTTTTGGTAACATCTTGTGATTTTGTACAAAACTCCAGTGCAGCCTATTCAAATTTCTTAAGTTTAAATTGTTAATGTCATTACTAAATATGGTTATTCAATATTTATGGACATGATGTGTGCCAAGGGATCAAACAGATGTATTTTACAAAATGGAACCCTGAATAATTCAGTGTCCTCTAGGAATAGACTAGATGATGACTAAAGAACAGGCTTGGTGACAACTGGAGAGAGAGTTGACACTTCAGAAAGATGACAGTTTGTGAAAGCTGGGTTGAGATCCCTGCTTGCATCTTCTGCAAGGAAGAAACTTTTCTTGGCTACAAGTTGTTCAGTAAATAGATATCCCCAGGGAATCCTGAAAGTGGAAGGTGAGATCCTCAATAGGACAGATGAATGGCTTTCTTTAGAGAATAACAACTGGATTACAACAGTGAAATGCATTTGTGGGAAGGAATGCAAGAATCTATGAAGTCTTAAAATCCACCAGACCATGAAATGTTTGGAGAGTGAATGAGGCAGACACAATTTGCAGGAATTTATCCTGGTGAGGCAGAGGAAGAGCATGGTCAAGAGACATACCACAGAGCCGAGTGCTTCCATGTGCTGGTCACTCAAAGCCTACAAAGTGTAACCTGAAAGCAGATTAAATGGCCCACTGCACACCAAAAGAATGCATGGCAACTGTTCGATCAGGATGTGAGTAATATTTTACAAACAATATCAAAAGGGGACAGACAGCAGATTATGTACAATGATGACTTGAGTGCCACCATATTTCTTTCAAGAATGAAACAGTTACTGTATTTGCTTCCTTTTTTATGGATGAGTGTAGAAGTGGAAGTCATTTGTAATTGGACTATAAAACGACAGAGGAGTTGCAGTGTGTTAGGTATATTATGAGAAGTGTTTTAGCATGTTGAATGGCACATAAGTCAATATCCAATCAGCTTTGATTGGATCACCATGGAGAGGAGAGATCTGAAAACTAATTATCCTTGGTTAAAAACATCACTGATGATATGTGCCAAAGCTTCAAGCAAATGTGTTTCATGAAAATATCTTTCTGGTAATTTAAAAATAAATCACAAAAATGTTATCACCAATTACTTAGACAAAAAAAACAAAAAACAAAAAAAAACATTCAAATTAACAAAATAAAATTAACAAAAATAACCAGTATTATTCTTAAAAGGCTTATGATCACCAAAGTTAAGCAACATCAAGCTTGGTCAGTACCTAGATGGGTTACCACTTGGGAAGCAAGCTTCACTGTTCAGGTGGTGTAATGGATAATGGCACAGAATTGTTAATCAGAGAGCAGAGTTCCAATTCCAGTCAGGTTTTTTACATTCACTTATGAGTAAATAACCTTGGGAAAGATAGGAATTCACTTCTCCTCCAGCTATGGGTTAATAGTAGGACTTGTATCAGTAAATCAATATTACCTCCAAAATCTTTTTACAATCTAGAAATATTTTCTGGCTTTAAATAACCTGCAAAAGGTTCATAAACCATAAAAAACAATCAATCAATCTTAAAGCTTTCTTAACCCAATCAATACTTAAAAAATTTCAATTTTTAAGTCCTTGGAATTCTGTCTGAATTGTTGAAACATATGACTGATGTTAGCATTGTTAAATTGATATATCTCAAGAAGTGATGAAAATGAAATATTAAAAGTTGATTTTATATGAAAGTAAATTGATTTCTTTTTCAAATGATACCAAACTTAGTCTCTTTGGATTTACTGGTTTTGTGATATAGTTTTGGAAGATTACAAGTTTGTAAAAGTTGTAGATTTCTAGTAGACACATCTAATTAAATATATGGCAGGTCCTAATGCAGTGTATTGAAATAAAATGTTACCCAGTTGCAAGTTAAGAGTTAATAAAAGGAAAAGAAAATACCTGATACAAATTCCATTTGTGATATATTTGTTTCTAACAATCTTGTTCATCAGACTAAAAAAAATCATTTTAAAAATGCTTGAAGATAATATTTTATGGGAAAAAACCTAAAAATCCTGTGATAATTTTTGTTAATATATCAATGTTTATTTATTTATTTTCAGGTGAATAAATATTAAAATATTAATGAAATCTACTGAAAAAATACTGATTAGAAAGAAGCATATTTTTCAGGATCAAAGCTTTAAAAACAGACAATTTATATAAGTGGACATTGAAGTCAACACCCAGAGGTGACAGTCTCTTTCATTTAGTATGAAACAGACTGTCACCTCTGGGTGTTGACTCCAATGTTCACTTTTATATTTACATTCACACTATCACTGATATTGAGCACTTTAACCCATAAATATTTGGATTTTGGTTTAGTTTGCCATTAAAAAACAAAATAAGAGCAAACATTTTATTCTACAAAATTAATGAAATATCATTTAAGAAGAATGTTGTTATGTAAAGTTAGTGTCATTATTCACTGAATTTAATCCAATATTTTAATATTGTAAATAAGGTGAAGAAAACATTATCTTAAATGCTGCTGCTAAATCATGTATTTTTAAGAGTCAATTTTTTTCTATTTTCTACATTTTTACTTCAATAATCATAAAAAGAAACTAAAGTCAGTATAACAAAAGTTAACTTTATTTCTAACAATAAAATAGTTACTTTCATAATTTTGTTTCATGTCATATTTTTGTTACAGAATTCATTGTTCTGATATAGTTTTTGTTTCATTAAAACTGTTTTTATATGGATGATTAATTCAAAGATTGAAAAGGATATGTCCCGGAAAGGGATAAATTTGTTTGAAGTAGCGAAGTGGTTTTGGACTACTGTAACAGAGTAGAACAATCTAACAGGTAACCGTAATGGACTGGTCCTTGTCATAGTATTAGGCAATGGGCGTAGCCAATAGGCATCCTCCCTGTACCTCCACATCAGTCTGTATTTATGGCTGACACCAGCCAATCATATTACTGTGAGGGGGAACCCAGGTGTATGCATATTCATTACATCAGAAATTCATATAACATTTCATAGATCCTTGTTAATGGAATGGGAAGTGGTTGATTC